CCCCAAAACCCCAAAACCCCAAAACCCCAGTAGGCAATCGAAAGATAGATTTTAAACTATAAATATAAAAATGGGAAAGTTCATACCCTTAGCCCTTCTGATGAGTGTTTATACACATTTAATTCTTCTTTATGTGTATATCATCCGAGCTTTCTTCAATTTCAGCAACGATTATATTATTCTCTCGATTCAGCTAGCCACAACGATGTATAACCATATTGGTAAGAAGTGTCAGTAATGGTTTAGTAATTTCTGAATATTATCTGGTTGATGATGAAGACATCAGTGAACATTTAGATTGAGAACAATGGTAAGCTCTACAATCATTATGAGTCATTCTCAAAGGCTTATATTTATCGTAAAATTCTAAAATGCAATATATTTACTCAAATAAACAACTTTTGACTTATAAAATTTGCTTGTTTAGGTATCTGAAAATTCCCAAATGCTTATGTATCTGAGACTGTATCTACCTTAATACAAAAGTGACAGCTTGTTTGAAGAAAAATATAAGAATCTTCGAATTCAAATTCAAGTGAATACTCACATTTGCCAGATATTTTTTCTGTATTATGAGCTTATAATGATGCTTGTAAGAGTCCTGATAACACACGAAAGAAGTTCAACTGATATTGAGATTGCCACAGTACTTAGCTATTTCTACATTGTGGTAAGCTTGTTGAAAAACTGAAAATTGATGAGCTACATCTCCTTATGTGTCTTCTTGGCAGCCACATGACCATTAATGATGCTACTCTCATTATTCCTGAGTCTAATGGGCTACTACGATGAGGAACCTGGTCCAGCACTTAACCAAGTCATGGCTGGAATTGAAGAAATTGTTGAACAAGAAATGGTCGAACAAGAAATTTCTGAGAGTGAAAGCCATGAGGAACCACCCAACAATAACGAAGAAGTAGTTCCTAATAATTTTAGTAACCTCATTGATGCCTTCAATGCTATGGCTGAACGAGTCAGGGTTGTTGAAAGAATAGAATATGAAAGGTTGGTGAGACAGATGATCAAGGACTGGAAAAGGGCTTATTCTGGACAAGATCAGCCATTTTCTCCTAACTGATGCGTCTGATTTGATAATTTTAAAGTAGGAGAGAAAATAATTGAGCTCCCTTGAGATCCTAAGTCAAATGGGCATATCTTCCATATTCTTTGAATAAATAATTGGGCTCAACAACACAAAACCTGTCCATTATGTAGAACAGATTTTATCGAGATACTTAAACAGCAAAATATTGATAGAGTCATGAAAAATGAGGATGACGAGGAAGAAGAGTCAAACTATAGAAATTCGATAAACTCTAGTGTGATAATCAACCAAATAATGAGCAGATCTAATTTAAGGGATACCCCAGCTAATGAAGAATCAAAGGCATCATCTCCATCAAGGTCTTTAGAAGGTTCAGCAGAGAGTGCCTCATCAGCTCCTCAGATCAGAAATAGACAAGAATCTAGTGATGCAGGTTCTCTGCTAGAATTCTCACTCTCTGAGAATATAGAACATCCTGAGGTATTATCCAGAGCAAACGCTCTAGATCGCCAAAGTAACAGCGTAGAACACGGACCGAATGTCCAACACCAAAGTATGTCTTCTCAGCAAGTTTCTTAACAAAAAATTGTATGAGAGAAAAGCACAATTAATACTTAGAGTAGTTTGAAAGGTTATAAAAGAGTTCTAAGCTCCTATTAATATTTAACTCAAATGAACATATCAGTTCTACAAAAAGTATCTTTCATGTCAAAAACAAAATAAAAACTGTCTTTATAGTCAAAAATTAACATTTTTTCAATATAATTTTTTGGAGAATAGATCAGACAAATAAGTAGGCTATATAGACGATTCTAAGCTCATCTATAATTTTAAAAGCCAAAATATATTCGACGACCCTCATTAGATAATCAAGTGTATTTTATTCATATTATCTTACCAAATACCTCCACCACAATTTTCTGAAGAAACCCCCAAATATGCTCTAGTTCCCTCATATCCCCTATTTCACCCCTTCCTCTCTAGGAATCAGCACAATAACATCAGCCTCAAACCTCGCTATCATATCCAGAGACAGCTAGCCCATCCTCAAATCCCATTCCTCTCTCAAAAATGTTCAATTCCAATCTTAACCCCTGGGGTTTTGGGGTTTTGGGGTTTTGGGGTTTTGGGG